GGGGGGGAAGGGGCTGCAGTCGTGAGTGCAGGGGGTTCCTCCTCCTCCTCCTCCTCCTCCTCCTCCTCCTCCTCCTCCTCGTCATCCTCCTCTTCCTCCTCATCCTGGGGGCCTTGCCTTGTCTGAAAAAATGGGGCCTGGTCCCACAAATCCCAGGCAGATGACCGGCTCATACGAATGATCAAAAAACTGGAAAGAAGATAGGCAAGCAAACATGACATCGACATAAATGTATGTATCTTCAGAACGAAATGCACGTGCATACGTCTATATATGTATAACGAAAGAGACACGCACACACACACACACACACACACACACACACACACACACACACACACACACAACACACACACCGTAGCCATTTTGGCTCAAGCCTGCCCTGGTGCCAGGGTGGGCAGGAACGCGCCGTGCCTCTCCTTCTCGTAGGAGAGAGCGGCTCTGTCCTGCTCCCCGTGTCGCGGCCCCTGCCATGGCGGCGTCGGGCGGCGGCACCAAGGGGATGGATCTACGGTCGGACGGCGCTGGACTGGTCATCGCGATGGCCGTCCAAGGCGCTGCTCAGGGAGCGGCGGCGGGCGGCGCCTCGCGGCAGGCGATCGCGGCTGCCGTGGCCGCAGCGCTGCGCACCGCCTGGGCGCTCTTGGCGGACGGCGGCTCCGAGGAGGACGCCGAGCTCGCTATGCGCTGGCAGGCCATGGAGCCCGCCATGCGCCAGCAGCTGCGGGGCGTGCAGGCGTGCGGCGCAGCCCGCGCCAGGCGCAACGTCGGGGCGCACGTGGTCCTCGGCAAGGGCGTGGAGGCCCTGCGGGAGGCCCTGGTGCGGCCGCAGCGCGCCCAGCGTGGCGGACGCTGCGGGCCCCGCGTGCCGGCGCAACCGGACCTGGCCGAGGCGGGCGGCGGCGGCTCGACCCCGCCCTCTCCGCCCATGGTGCCGAGCGCGGCGGTGGCCACGGAGGTGGGCGGGAACCCCTTCGACGACCACGCCGACGACACCATGCTGGAGGGGTCCGTCGGCGACGGCGCGGAGCTGGACGTGGACGTGTGCAAGGGCACCGACCAGGTCGTGGACAGCTCCGAGGCGCGCGTGGACGCGAGCGAGCAGGAGCACCAGAGCCCCTTCGAGGAGGACACGGTGCTGGGCGAGGTCCCGCCCTTCCCGCAGCTCAGCGCGGCGGTGGGCGAGGAGGCCGTCGGAGGCCCCTTGGAGAGTATCGTCGGCGCCGAGCTGCAGGGTCAGGAGAGCGAGGAGGCGACGAACGACGACGACTTCGTTCTCCCCTCGATCCTCGCCAAGATGGAGGAGTCGATGGAGGCCCAGCGGCGGTCCCAGGCCAGCCTCGTGGAGGACCTGGCCAAGTTGCGTGCCCTCCGAGCGCAGGAGCTATCCGTGGCTCTGCGCAATGGGGTGGCGGGCGCCGTCGACGAGGCCAAGGTGCGCCTTCGGGCCGCCGTGGATCGGCTCCGTCTGGCCGAGGCCGCCTTCGACAACAAGATGGCCACCTTCCAGCGGCAGTGCGAGGTCCTGCAGCGGGCGTCCCAGCGGCGGTGACGGTCTCGCTGAGGGCTGAGGCCGTGGAGGGGTCAGCAGCAAGAGTGCCAGCTGCGTGGATGGCCTCGCGGATTGCTGGGATGGCCGTTGCGCCTCTGCCCGTCGTCGGGGTGCGGGTTCCGCCTCTGAGAGGGCCCCAGCGGTAGAGACAATGCCCCCCTTGACGCGGTGTCCGCCGTGGCTGAGGGGCCTGAGGGGGCGGTCCCTCGGGGTGCCTGGGCCCGCATTCGCCGTTGGCGGGGCCTGGGCACGGCGCGTGTTCTCGCTTTTCAGCCCCCCTTGGCACCAGGCTGAGGGGCCTAGGGTGGGGCGCGGCCTCGAGGGAGCCCTTTCGCTCTGCACCCTGGGGAGTTCGGCGGGGGCGCTGCCCGCGGCTCGGCTCCGCACAGGCTCGGCAGGCGATGACCTTCGCTCGAGAGCCCAGCGCACGGGCCTGGCGAGGTGTAGACGCCCCAGGCTGCCGATGCACCAAAGCACCAAAACACACAACACACACAAGCACGTACGTGCGCGGGTTCGCGCACACGCTATAAAAAAACAATACACCATGATAAGCACAGAATACAAGCCAGCGTGGACTCCAAACAGTGTGTATCTAGCAATATATGTTGTGCCGTCCACGTGGTGCAATACATGTGAAACTGTGCAATCGACGTGGAGCAATTGATTTTTACCCATCATGTGACACATCCCATGCTCTTGCAAACATCCCACCCACCCACCCGCAACTTGGTTTGCAAAACCTCTAAAGACCGACTACGACGACACCGACGACAACGACTACGACGACACCGACGACGTCTCCGACGACTTCGACGACGACAACGACGCCGACGGCGACGACGACGAAGACGACGACACCAACGAAGAAGACGACGACGTGAGGAGGAAGGACGACGACGGCGACGACGACGACAACGACGACAACGACGAGGGAGGAGGGAGGAC